ACAATATCGAGTTATTAATTAATGTCTCGTACACGGCATGTTATGGATGTACTTTTATATATTAACTTATACTGTGTATGCACAAAACTCCAACTCGAAATCGAATTTATCAGGCCCATTTCGAAAACGTGAGCGCTATACTTTGCTCTCGGTGTTCCAAGTGAAATGACGTTACACGGTTCGCTCCCCTATTACTTGGTCAATCTACTTGCAGTAGTGGTTCTCAGCGAATACGTCGACATCACTAATAGCATTCTCCTTTTACTTTCCATAGTACAGAAACTTCAATGTAATAATAGTAAAATTTACACTAAATTTTTGCTAAATTTTATTACTTTAGTGTGTAATAGTGATAGTAAAATTTAGTGTAAGTTTAGTGTAAATGTTACTACTTTTATATTGAAGCTTGCATAAATTTTATTATTCTATCTTTACTATTTTTAGTGTTTAACGGTAATAGTAAAATTTGTTCCAAATTAACGCTAAATTTTACTAATTCAAACCTTATGTTAAGATAGTGATTCTTCGATAGAAAAAAGATGCTAATAGATAAATTGTCAATGAGAACCATTATGAATAAATAAAAAGATAACCGTTCCGTGTCCATATTCAGAATCTCAGATCTCGCAGTTTTAGACGAATCGGAATGGGTAAACGATTACTATTAATATTTTCTGAAATAATATTTGCGATACACTCGTTACGACTAAACGTTCCACAATAAATGATGTTGCACGTAGAACTTCGTCAATTAGCGGACATAGAAAGCAAAGATAGTATTCAAACAGGGGCACAAAGGGAGGAAAACCGATCGATTAGCCACTTCAAAACGATATACAAGGTTTTAAAAGACACTAATCACTGGGGCATCACTGTCCCGAGTAATTAGTCGAAAGCACAGACAATTCTTTTGTATCGTGTTTATCTAACGTTGTTAAGCCTTAGCGTTAAAATATCGGCCGGAAATGATGCACACACATCACTATACAAACACTATCAGGCGTGTAAACCTATTTTATATACACGTAAACATAGAAATTAATGACACATACATACAGAATGTTACACATTAAATTATACAGTATTGGATGTCTCAGTTGCAGACATTTTTCAAATTTTAAAGAAACCTTTCATAGGAAAAATAGAATTTCCTAGGTTGTCGTTACAAGAGGAACAGGGATTCGCCAAAATTCCTTAGAATTCCCTAATTCTATTTTTACAACAATAATAATAAATTGAAAGACCTACAAACTTTAACACACTTCGGTTGATATGTACTTAAAACAATAAGGTTGAAACGATTATGTGTCGACCTCTTTTCACCGATCTTACAAAACTTGAACGTTTAATAATTTATGAAGTACTTAACCCAGGAACGTAAGCTCGAAAAAACAAACTCGGTAACTCGGAAATCCAATATTGTATAATGTAACGTGGAATGACCCATACGTTCATACGACACAGAGCATAAACACTTTCAGTCTTGTCTCAAAACTTAAACGAATTTGACGTTTGTAAAGTAATTACGCATACATCTCGTGCGCTGATCAAGCGCACGAAAAAATAATCAAAACGAGTTAAACACACTGAAGAAAATACATATACATAACATCGATATCTACATGAACCTATATAAAGTATCTACATAATATTTACTTCATTATTTTACATAATCATGGGACACATGCATGTGTACGCGTTCAAACGTACATACCATACATACATAAATGCAGACACACATAATTACATATATGTAAATGTACAGGGTGTATCATTTTAATCTATCAGCATAAGTATCTTTTAAACCATTCTCTTTTCAAAAGATGTGTCAATGAACATATTACCATGGTTACGAGTCTTCTTTTTGACTTACTGTTTGAAATATTTTTTGAAGGAGGAATCATTTGAAAGATACATATGGACACTCTGTATACACGTACATTATCAAAAAAAAACAATGACAGAAGTAGATTGTAAGTTGATTGTGACTACTTCAAGGAATCAAACTTGCATGTTACGACGATAAACAAGAATGAGGGGATTTAAAAAAAAAAAAAAGATTGATCGAAGAGAAAGAGAATGAATAAAAAGGAAGGATAAACATGAAAAGAAAGTGAAAGAAGGAAGTTACGAGTAATAATAACGATGATATACTATAGGGGGTTAAGAAAGCGTTAAAGGGGTGCGAATCGATACGCGTGCAGTATTAACGTTAGCTCAAAGCTAATCACTTTGAATAGTAAGTAAATTCGTGACATTCGAAATGCCAGTAATATGTATTCGAATCTTACGAAAATTTTGGATAAATGAGAAAACTTGGAGGATGAAATTAAAGCGGTTACTTCCAAATACATGTGGTAGCTCTCGTTAATATTTCGACATCATGATATTTAAATAAATATTCCTCGATTTATTGATTTATAATTATGCCAAAACAATGATTGTTAGTTTGAATTTACAGAAAATCTTAGGATTAAATGCTTTTGTAAGTTACAAACAATTTATTTCTTTAACATAATAAATATAAAGATATCGAGGGACGATTAGTTAAATATCATAATATCAAAATATTAATACGAACCACTATAGATGAACTTTTCTATTTCGATAAAAAAAAAAAAATGATCTCCAAAATGCACGTCTACGAAACGTTCACCCCTTTGATCGCAGATTCACGTTTGTTTGGTTTTTATTGTCAGAAGTTTCTATTTTTCCATAATACGATAAGGAACGATAATATTTACTATTAAATATGTGTAAGCATATAGGTGTGCGAGAGAAAAAGTGTTGGATGCATGAATGAAGGAAAAAAAAAACCGAAAGACAGGGATGAAAAATCAATGAGGCAGGGTGGGAAGGAAGAGGAGAGTGAACGATAACGAAAGAAAAATGTTGAAGTTGAGAAAGCTTAGGAATAATTGTTTTCCATGTTAAGTACGTTAAATGGTGTACGTGATATCGATAATTATTAATTAATATTATTAGTTACTAATGCTCGAATAGAAGAAATAGCGACAGAAAAAGAAAATGGCAAAGTATTGAAATTACAAGTCCATAGAAGGGGATGGATCTTGCTTGGGTATTATAATATTTTTCACATGATCAGTCTACTTTAATAAACAAAAAATCCAATAAAATTAATTCATTCTTTGTCATTTGAAAATCTAAATAATTAACAAAATATCGATCAATAATGAGCTAAGATATCAACAGAAATAATTATCTTTTTAATTTTATAATTCACCCCTTGTGGATTCACCCCTTGTCCATATGATGTGCAAAAATACGAAAAGAGAAAGGGACGTGTATTTCCATACATACATCAATATAAGCGCTAAAAAAGTTGAAAGAGAGAAAGAAACAATTTTTTTCTTGTTATAACTAAGTGTGCCTAGTCAATAGAATATATCTGGTCAATTTTAATATTATATATATTATATATTATATATTATTTAAACTTGATACCGTAATTATAATGTAAAACCTTATGGACATGACAAAATCATACGACAATGATTGTGCTGTGTTGTATTACGAAATGTTGGCCTGTGACTATATTTGTAGCTATTATACATACACGTATTAAAAGAAACACATACACACAAGTTACACATGCGTACATATGTAGAGTGGATTGAAAAAGTATTGGCACCCATTACTTTATTGCGATCATTTTATTCAGGAGATATGTACATCGTATTTTATTGCATTTGTTATTTATTACATTATTTATTATTATATTATAGGTATTGCTCATTCGTTTTATAATAATATTTATGCCAATACTTTTTCATTCATTATATATAATTATTTATATATGTAGGATGTGAAACTTTTGTGAACCGTCGAGAAACATAATAAAACCGCCGAAGATTATGAAAATGCCGAAGAATTGTATCGTAAATTGTACACAATAGCGTTATCATTTTCAATTAATTTATCAATTAATAATTTCATCGCAAAAATTTAATCACGATACTTGCTTATTTAGCAAGCTCACTGTGACCCCATAATTTGAGGGAGGCTAAACTTCATCTAATTATTTTATTAAAGAAAAATTAATTGTTTACCCAATTTCATTGCTTATGATCGTTAATTTTACTACATTATATATTTCATTGCAAGTGTAGAATTTACGATTAAAAATCAAAACGACATAAGCGAGGGAAGAAAAGGGTGGAGAACAAAATTTCAGCAGGAAACTAAATCAATTACATTTTGTTACCGTCCTTCGGACACGTTTTCTAAAAAGCATGCACAAATACCAGAATTTTCTGAACGACGATAAAATGATTTGATAGTAGATTGAATTTCAAATGACATCAAATAAAGTCGTGGAATTTTACTTTAAATCGAATCGTTTTTACCGCCGTTCCATCTTCACGAATCTTTTCGACGACGCTCCCTTTCTACTTACGAAAAAAGCGCTTCTGAAAATGTAACGACACGATGAAACGTATCGTAGAACGTGTGAGAGTGATAAAGAGAAGGAAAAGAAAAAAAAAAAAAAGGTACCGAACGAAAATTATTTTTTCTAACGAAAACTCGTCCCACCCTCCCCTACCCTGTTGCACATGAGTTCATGCTGTTAATAATTGGCTTGGAAACAGTGTTTTAGAAAGCAAGGAGGTAAAGGCGGAATTTGAGAGATAACATAGGGATAGGAAATGGAATGAAAGAAAGAGAAGTTAATGGGTCATATCATGGTTGGTTATAAAGCAAGAAGGCTATTTATTTAGAATATAACTAAATAGTCTGTTTTAATGTGCGACGGGCTACACGTATTGTAACATAATATCTAACAATAAAGTATTTTGTTTGCTTCAAAAATACATATATTTATTAAATATCAATAATTCATTTAATAGACTATTATATTATGTGGAAGGAAAGGAAAATAACACTGTAGTTTCTTCTTATCTTAATATTTTATTTTTTTATGCTATTACTTACAATTTATTTGTTTTACTACATTTGTTCTAACTCATCTTTCCTTTACTTTATCTCCTTTTATCTATATCATATCTATCTCTGTTACTCTTCATTTCCCCCTGTTCAACATAAAATACACCCTCTAAGAGCAGGGCTGAACCTCGACATGGGGCAACTTCTCTGTCTGGCTTTAGTGTTCTTTCTTCCTCTATCATTGTCTCTGCCCATGGTTCCACTGGTCGCAAGCGAAGCGATCGATGGAGCGTCATCCGCGGTGAGTAACCCATCAATGGGTTCCCTTGCTTGTTGGTTAACACGCACGTACGGACCAAATAAAAACTCACTAACGAAAATAGAAGATAGGTTTCCTGTGAGTCAGTTTCACGCAAAAGATTTTTTTATTTCCTGTTTATTTTATTCAAGAAACTCGATGATTTATCATTATTTCCGCCCTTTGAAATGAGTCATAATTAACTTCATCATGGTAGAAAATCAATTTCACTTATTCTAGAATTATACATACATACCATCTACTAGTATTCTTATATTTGTACAGTATCGAGCATGGTAGACTTTCCCAGGCTCTCCCGGGATCTCGAACTTTCCAGGGGTTCCCGGCCACCCTTGAAGGCCTCCCCCAGGGTTCCCGGCCCTAATTTGAAGGCCTTCACCGGGGTTCTCGGATTCCCGGCCATCCCCGGAAGCCTCCCCGGTTCCCGGGTTTCCGCCACTCTCCATAGGCGGTCCCATAGAGAATGACAATAATAGTGGAGGCGCTAATTTATTATCTATATTTCTTAATTATGTACTAAACCTTATATATATAAAGCGCAAAGACGTCCGTCTGTGTCAGTTTTCAATTTGTGTTTCTAAGTGATCGGAATCAAAAGTTACAGAGGTTTCAATTTTTCTAGAGGAAGTCTATGGGTCGCACATTTTAGCTTTCGGGGTCCCTGACACCCCGATGCCATAATGTTGATATGCAGAGCATCACCGGTGCTTCGGGGTCCTGAACATCCCAATATGATAGCTGGTTGGTTATAGAGTACGCCACCGATGCATCGGGGTCCCTGACACCCCGAATGCCAGAATGTCGGTATACAGAGTATCATCAGTACTACGGGGTCTCTAACACCCCAAGATGATTGCTTCGGGGTCCCTGACACCCCATGATGTTATGTCGATGTGTAGTGTCGCCGGTGCTTCGGGGTCCTGAATACCCCAATACAATATCTGGTCGGTATGCAGAGAGCGCCACCGAATGCTTCGGGGTCCCTGACACCCCAAGATGATTGCATCGGGGTCCCTGACACCCCAAGATGATGGCATTGGGGTCCCTGACACCCCACGATGATATGCCGATATACAGAGTGTTGACGGTGCTTCGGAGTCCTGAACACCCCCATACGATATTCGTTCGGTATGCAGAGAGCGCCACCGATACATCGGGGTCCCTGACGCCCCGGATGCCATCATGTCGGTATGCAGAGTGTTACCCGTACTTCGGGGTCCCTAACACCCCAGGATGAAGTCATGACGGTATCTAGAGGGCGCCATTGGCGCAGCGGGGTCCCTGACACCCCAGAATGAACTCAGGTCCGTATAAAGAGGGCACAACCAGTATAATAATCGTCCTCTAATTTTTTTCCGGAGTTTGTTTAATTTAGTTTATTTATTTTCTTTGCTTATTAAATAAGCTCATCGAAGGGGAATAACATTTATGATTGTATCCCTCTTTTGGGCCTCGGCCGAGGACCCCTTTTATTTCCCTTTTTCCAGTTATCTCTCTTTATAGGCCAAGGCCACCCCTTTCAGTTATTAATTATTTTATGCTTCATTATGGACGAAGACTGCGCTCCCTAATTATTTATTATCCTACGCCTCTTTATGGACCAGGACCTCCCTTGGCAGATTTTCTACATCATTTTTAACATTAATATCGTCAAAATTACTACAATAAAATACTTTCAGTATTTTGCATAACATTGCTCTAAATAGTGTATACAATACAGAATCCGTTCTTATTTATTTAAAGTATTTATTGAAATATTTAAAGCATTGTACTTAATCTTTTCTAAGTAAGAGTTAAATGATTACACATCAGGAGCGTTTAAAAATATTTTTATATATATAAATGTATTTCTTATGTTCTTCATTCACGTGGATAACCTCAGTTTTACAATAGGAACTCGTGTTTATCCTGTTCTTCACCGAATAACATAAAAATGTATAGTAATATGAGATGTATATTGTAAATGATATTGTGTTTATTTTGAATTTGTTATACTAACTTTGATCAACATGAATTACGTTAAATTCATCCAGTTTCGGAATTATAAATTCACATCAAAGGTAGTAAACAAAACTAATGATATTTTGTATAAAGTTCAGAATTTTGAAACACCAGAAAAATTAAAAGGGACATTTCTCGAACGATGGGGTAAGTTGACAACTGTAATTATATTAGGTCAAGTATTTTCATTTGAATTTGTTTTTTGTTTCTATTTACAGGTAAATATTGGAAGAATCTTTTCACAGATTACAAGGAAGTAACAGTGAGTGTTGTGAATGATTGTAAAGAACATCCAATAAAAGCTTCCATATATGCTTCAGGTATATTTGTATTTAATTAAATAAAAATAGATACTTTATAATTTTATATTTTTCATAACTGTTAAAAATTTTTTTTACTTAGTTCTAGCATTCTGTATATATTTAAACAAACATAATCCAGATGAAAGTTCCTTCAGGGAACAGTTATTACAAAACACTATAAAGATAATGCAAGTGGGAGAAACTGTACGTAATCCAGTATCTGAATATCATGTGAAATGGTTAGGACAATGCTACAATGAAGGAATTGTACGAAGAATGAATTTGGGTATAGTTTCTTTGATTTGGTTAGATGACTATGATGAAACATGTTCTTTGTATAAAGCTGCTTGCCCTTATCTAGATGTACAATATGCAACATTTTACCAAAGAATAGTAGATTTTGGAATATTAGATAAGTGGTGGGTTTTAGAAAGTAAAATGAAAGACTATGATGTAAATGAAACAGAATTTAGCGATTTGAAAACTGAATAAACTATTTAATTTAGGAAGAATTAAAAAAATACTTGTCCTATTTGCATAGATTAACAATTACTTACATATATTTAATAATAGTAATTATATTAAATTCAAAATCACTTTAATATTTTCGAAAGTACAAGTTACATAAAGAAACAAATACTTCCTTTAAAAGAAGTTTTTGAAACCTTTCTATATAGTACAAATATCTTCTTTTAAAATCTAACAAACAAGTACTATCCTTAATAATATTTATAGTTTAAGTATTTATATTTCTTCGATCTCACAAAATAATTACTACTTAAAATAGAAAACATACTTTTATTTCAAATATGTGTAGATTCCAAAAATATAGTATCAAAACATATATCAAATATATAATTATTTTAACATTTAAATATCATTTGGTAATATACAAAAATTGATTTTTTTAAAATTTCATATATGAATATTTTATTAATTTCTAAATTCCATATAATATAACTTCGAGCTTCTGTCATTCTTTTCTTTTCTTTATATAGGATACATTAAAATCAGTCCTTATTTTGGCCATGTCCATGATCGTACTTAGGGTTCTAAAATTAAAAAAACTGTTAGCTATCTAACAACCATAAGAAATATAAAGTAACAAGTTAATGTAATAATCTTACCTCGAACATAGATAATAGCTGAGCGACAGGGAATATAAATCAACATTTTATTTGAGTAGTTGGAAAATGACTCTGGTACGGTAAAATGTTGTACGCTGGTATCAACACGATTTTCTCCACCAAAATCCTTGTTATCGCTACATAAAACGATTTTATAAGTTCCTGGAGTCTTTACTCCGACAGGATAATCCGGAAATGACTTTACCGGATGAAAATTAAAAACAAATATAAGCTCTGCTCGGTCAAAAACAACTACTTTGTCATCCTCGTGTTTCCAACTCACATATGCCTGTAAAACCCCCGTATCTTTGTTAATTACAGCACACAGTATGTAAACGAATTTAAAATATAAATTTAAATATATAAGTACAGGAGGAGCATGTAGCCATCCATATTTTTCTTCGAGGGTATTTACAGCACGATCCCAATTATTCATGAATTTATATTTTAGTAATTCATCGTCTACTAAATTCCATTGCCTTCTGGCATAATGGTAGCTATCTCCATTGCCAGCTCGAGGAAAATCCAACCATTCAGGATGACCGAATTCATTACCTAAATTTATATGTATATCAACAAATATATTTAAAATTCTATAAGTAATTTAGTAACTAACCCATAAAATTTAAATACGCTTCTCCTCCTAATACATGTGTAATTAACGTAATAAGATTATGAAGAGCAATTCCACGATTTATGATTGGATTTGGCGGACTTATTACGCTCATGTGAGTATACATTTCCTTGTCCATAAGCCAAAATGCAATTGTTTTATCACCTACAAGAGCCTGGTCGTGAGATTCTGAATAAGCTACCGTTTTCTCCATCCATCTTCGATTACTTAATGTCCAACAAATTTCTCCGACTTTCCAATCTTCATCTTTCACTTCTTTTAAAAGTTTAATCCACTTATCAGGAATAGACATAGCTAATCGGTAATCAAATCCTATACCACCTTCAGAAACAGGTCTTAAAGATCATTCAAGAACAAAGAAGTTAGTAATTTTAATTTGTACTTAAACATATGATTATGAAAACGATTTATGGCTATATTTTTTTTCAAAATCATACCTGCAAGTTGCAGGCATTCCACTAACATCTTCCGCTATTGTAATAATTTCTGGATATAAATGATGCAACATGTAGTTTGCAAGCATCAAATATACTACACCTTCAACATCAACATTCAGACCAAAATATTCGTCATAATGACCAGTGAAACCTTGTCCAGCTCCTCTTGAATGATACAACATTGATGTAACACCATCAAATCTGTATAAATATATTATATGTAAGTAAACAATGTAAATTTTGCATTCTAATACACATTTTGGTATATAAATACCTAAATCCATCAAAACCATATTCTTCGATATACCAACGTAAATTGGAAAGTAAAAATCGCAATACTTCGTATTCCCCGTAATTAAAAAGTCGACTGTCCCAAAGAGGATGTTGGCCACGATTTCCAGAATGGAAGAAACAAGCATCGGTACCATCGAACATATTTAATCCATCCAAAGTATTCTTTGATGCATGCGAATGCACCACATCCAATAAAACATATAGACCATGTTGATGCGCTACATCTATTAACTCTTTTAGTTCTTCTGGCGTACCATAACGGGATGAAACCGCATAAAAGGAAGTCACCTTAATAAGTTTAATTATACGAGATATTGAAATATTTTTTGCTATTGTTGAGATACATATGCATACTATTAATTCTGACAATAAGTATTTTAAAATCATCTGTTTTAGATACATACCTGATACCCAAAACTGGCATAATAAGCGTGTTCCATAATAGCCATTAATTGTATTGCATTATAACCCTGTTTTACAATGCGAGGGATTATATTTGTAGCAAATTCTAAATATGTACCAACTTTTAATTCTTGAGTTGCAATACCCACGTGACATTCATAAATTCTAAGACTATCTGGTTTCTTTGGTTTTGGGTACTTAAATTTATAAATCTGAACAAGAATATGTTACCTTACATTATTAACAATTACGGTGAAACAAAATTAATTCAAGCCAGTATACATATACTTCAATATGATTATATACATATATATACATTTTTAGATAATGGATACCATATACGTTGCTTGTATGTAGCACTTTCAGAACGATTTTGTGTAACATAGCTAGCCCAAGGACTTAACCGTTCTAGCAATTCATTATTATGGTCTTTTACAATTACTTTAACTTCTGAAAGATGTTTTATTGGACAAGTGCCATCAGCATTGGGAGGTAAATGTAATTCCCATTTTCCATAATCTAATCTTTTATAAGAGTTAGCTGTTTTATTCCAATTGTCTATTAATAAAAATGTGGAATAAAATTAAAATACTGTTTATGTTTAATTAATATATAATATTATATGTATCTCTGTAATAAACAATTGTAATTTTCTTACTAAAATCTCCTGTTAAAAATAATTCTTGTGCACCAGGTGCCCATTCTTTTGCAGTAACACTATTATCTTCGTTTATATGAATTCCAAAAGTTTTATATCCTGTTGAAAATTTTTCTAAGCTGCCATCACCAGTCTCTAATCTTTCCAAATAATCCTTGTATAATGCGTACCTAATAAACAAAATGATTATGAAAAATGATGGTTTATTGAAACTGAGGATTCGTATATTTGTATATACAATTTTGTAACAAAATAAATGGCAACTGATTACAGAAAAGAACTATGCATTAAGTTATACTGTTAAAAGAATTATGAATTATTAATGATGACTGAATTAAGTAACATATTTTTACATAATGCACATATAATACCTTTTACGAATTTCATTTTCATACATTTTCAAATACGGATCTCTTTCTAATAAAGCACTTATTTCTGGTACTTCAACTTGAGAAGGATCCATACTTGACCATTTTCCCCCCATTTTTCTTTCTTTGTTCACTTACAATCAAAAACACCTTAAAATTATAACTTTATTAAATGTTATATGACATTTCAAGGTGACCTTCTTTAGTATTTGCAGTACCAATGACTACAAATACAAAAAGACTGAACATACTTTTGTCTCTGAAGGGTCATGATTTCAGGGGGTTCCAGGTACCCCCTGACGAGCGTCGAGGCCGAACTCCGAATTCCGCGTTGGTAAAACAGTCAACGTTTCATCGAAAATTAACAAAGGAAACAAAGGCATGTCCAGTCTTTTGCATCTGTAGTCATTGGTCATATGAACTTATACAGTATTTTTATGATTCCACAAGATGGTGAGGTTAGGACGTGTTTACTTGTCAGATGCTTTAAAGCAAAGGATGAAACGTAAAGACTGTTTAAACATAACAGGAATGTGTACATAAAAAGTGGATAATCTTAAGAAGAAATCATGTTTTTCCCAATTGGATGGCCCCGAGTTCTAAACACAATCGAACCGGAAAACATAACGGCCGTTGTTTGCAATAGGGATAAAATACTTTTCGCTATTTTGACAACGGACGCTCTAACCATCTGGTATTGTAAGGCATGTGTTATAATTATAACATTGTTATTATATGTTTAAGTGAAGTTTAGTATTCACTAATGAAATAAAACCAATTCCTTTCACTGTTTAGTACTTTCCCAGATGTTAGGCTTGTTACCGATTCAGATTTAAATAATAGTTTTACTTTATTCATATTCCTAATATTTTCCTTTCAAATGATATTGTTTCTTATGCTATTACATGAATTTATATAAAAAGCAATTTTTGTTATAGCCATGTGTACCTATTGTATTCATCAGAAGAACACCAGATTCATTAAGAAAGCATGGAGACAATATTTTATTACAATGGAGACCAGATTCCAGTATGCTGGTTATTGGGGTATAACAGATTATATATTATATTAAATTATAACAAAACACATAAAAATTACTACATTAATTTTAATGTTTCCAGACATCAGATAGCTACCTTCTATTTTATAAATTATCGGATACTAGTCCAGAAGAAAGAGGACTTTATGAACAAAGAGACTCCCCAGTTACTAGTTTAAAAAGAGATAGTGCTGAACTATTTATTAAGGAAGTTATCCCTTCTTTAGTTTTAACATTTGTAAGTTAATGTTGAAAATACATTCTTGAAAGTTATGCAAACTGATGGAGATTTCAAGCTTTCTTGCAAGTTTTCAAACAATTTAAACACGCCCGAACTTCGAATTACTTGGAATTTTATTTGAACCCTAAAAGTCTTGAAACTAAGGCTCTGTTGATAATACCGCTGCTGATATCGCTGATTCAAAGCTTCTCCGTAAATTTATATTCGAAGCGTTATCCATACATTTCATATTAATTTGCTTTTTTAGGAGAAATCAGTATGGATAGATGATGGTATTAGTTCTTTGGTTTGTATACGCGATGAACTTATGGTCGCTACAAAAACAAGTCATGTAATACGCCAAAAATGGGACGGTACGGCAAATAGAGATTACTCTCTTGACTTAAGGAGAATACCATTTAGCATAGATCAACAGATATCTACCGTAGCTGTACCATTAACTGATAATAATGTATATATTACCGACATTGAATATTCCCCCTTAGTCGGTGGATTTGCAATTGTACTCAACACCGGCAAAGCAGCATTCCTCACAGCTCAGTCATTGAAATTTGATCCTAATGTATGTCAATTTATTTTCCTTTATGTAGATAACAAATTTATAGCAATCTTATTTTTCAGCAAGTTCAAGGAATTTGGGCCAAAGATATTGAAGATGCTACGTGTGCAGCTGTAAATCACAAATATCGTCTTATTGCGATCGGAAGACAAAAGTATACTACATATTTTATAAATCTATATGGGAACATAGTTTTATACGAGTCTATAATATATATTTTATTACTAGTTCTGAAGGGGTAGTATACTATGTCGACGAAACAACAGGAGGGCTAGAAATGTCACATACGTTGAGTTTATCTTCGAAAGATTATCCAGGAAGACCAGGTCGTGTAAGATGTTTAAAATGGACTCCCGATAGCTGTGCTATTGCATTGGCTTGGGAAGGTGGCGGCCTAGCGATATGGAGTACATTCGGTGCTCTTTTACTTTGTACTTTAAAGTGGGATTATGGTTTAAGAGTAGACCTGGCGCGTGATAATCCTTTGCATATCCATACGATGGTTGGTAAATTTATTAATATCGATTTTATTTCTATCCCACCTCACCTTTTATGTATTCCAGGAATGGTCTGCAGAAGGTTATCAACTTTGGATGTTAAGAGAATCTCCAGATCCTTCCTTGATTGAAGAAAACGGAAACGAAAAACCTAATTTAAGGCGATCTTTGATACAATTAGATTTTGTAAAAAGTCCTTTAACTATCAATCCTTGCATGGTAACTATAAAAACAAGTATATAGGTAACGATTTGTTATACTTATTACTGACCATGAGTTGGTATGTAGGGTCATCATGGACATTTGTATTTGCAAGGTGAAGACAGATTATATTTAAATCTTGGTGGTGGAGTTTCTACAAATGCTCCGACCTTTCATCTTGGTAGTGAAATTCCTAATGATTCTATCACGCAAACACTTGCGAGTTCCAAACAATGGCTAGTTGTTCCTATTCCCAGCGTGTATAGCGGTTCCAATTGGCCCATAAGAGTACGTGATGTTTGCTGTATTACATAAAATTTTACACCAGAATAATATGATTAAACAAATCTTTTTTTCAGTATACTGCTATTGATAACGAAGGTATGAGTATAGCTGTAGCAGGTCGGACAGGACTAGCCCATTATTCTTTACCTTCGCGTAAATGGAAATTGTTCGGCAATGAAACTCAAGAGCGGGATTTTATCGTTACTGGAGGACTGTTATGGCATAAGGGTTTCTTGATAGCTAGCAGCTATTCAATATTAGACGACAAGGATGAAGTTAGAATATATCCTCGGGATACTCGTCTGGATAATAATTACGTTAGAACCGTTAGAATGCCATCCCAGGTATTACTGCTCAATACATTAAAAGACAGGCTCTTAACATTTTGTGCTAATGCACAAATAAGCATTTATGATATGATATTAGAAAGCAATAATGGTAAGTAAATGAAGTAAGCTAGTTTATTAAGTATTGAATCGCGCTTAAAATATTTTTATTTCAGATGCAGGAAATGTAGAATTAACGAGATTGCAAACTGTAGATATTAGTGGACTCTGTGTTCATCCTGCTTGCGTTGTAAGTGCCACCTTGACTACTATACGTGCAGAAACGGCCGGAAGTCATCCGCATCCTGAAAGTCTTCTGTTAAATGTATCCGGACGTCTTCTTATGGTTCAACGAGAACATTGCACCGATAATCCAGAGGTGGTATGTAAATAATATCTTTATTGTTAATATAAATTAATCTAATATTCGTTATATTTTACAGCTATTTACATGTAGCGCTCCAACAGTATTAGCTTCTTACGTAGAAAATGTTTGGGTACCTTGGAGATCGAGGCGGGATAAACCTCATTTAACAGAAGCCTTATGGTTATTTTGTGGTGCTCACGGCATGCGTGTTTGGCTACCATTGTTTCCCAGAAATCATCAAGAGAAAACACATACATTTATGAGCAAGAGAATAATGTTGCCTTTTCATTTACGCATTTATCCCTTAGCTATACTGTTTGAGGATGCTATTCTACTCGGGGCAGAAAATGACACCGTACTTTTTACATCGGACACTAATTCCCCGTTTTCATTGCCATTTAGTTTACTAGAACTTACAGTAAGTATTTTTGTGAAATGTTAAGATGTTTCGTTAAACAATTGAAAATTTTATTTATATTACTTCTAGAGTCAAGTTTATCTTCATCAAATATTACGGCAACTTATTCACCGTAATTTAGGATATCATGCTTGGGAAATAGCTCGCTCGTGTTCCGCATTGCCATATTTTCCCCATTCGTTAGAACTTTTGTTACACGAGGTACTAGAGGAAGAAGCAACTAGCAAAGAACCAATTCCAGATGCTCAGTTACCTTCCGTGGTGGAATTCATCCGTGAATTTCCAGGAGTTTGGGCTAGAGCAGTTGTACAGTGCGCTAGGAAGACTGAAATAGCACTTTGGCCTTATTTATTCTCTGTTGCTGGACCACCGAAAAAGCTGTTGCAGGATTGTTTACAACGCCAGGAACTCGATACTGCTGCTAGTTACTTAATAATTTTACAGAATTTAGAACCCTCTTCCGTTAGCCGGCAACATGCTACTTTATTACTAGACGCCGCTCTCGAACAAGGAAGATGGGAATTGTCAAAGGATCTTGTTCGTTTTCTTAGAGCAATTGGTAACATATAAAATAGTTTTAAACACATTCATCTTGCTTACACCATTTTAATATGTTTTATTTTCCATAAGATCCAAACGACGTGGAATCACCAAGAACATCTTGGGGTGGAACATCAAAATTAGGAGGACCTACGCAAACACCACCGCTTTCACCTCACGAAGATGACTTATCTCTGGTGTTAGGAACCATGCAAGTTTCACGAAGTCGAAGTTACAGTACTACAGTAACGCCTAAAGTACAATCTGATTCAGTGGCCAAAGATATAGCTCCGTCTTCAATGTTAGAGAAAACTAGAAATGTAGTTATGAGACGAAAGAAGTCTGTACCGACAAACACTTCTAAAATCGAGAAACCTGACAGCAAGTAAGTTCAGATTAACATTCATAAAAATGAATGAAATGGTGTTCTTTAAAATTAAAATGAAATATTTCTATTTTTCAGAGAGGGTTCGGCTGAAGAATTCTTTATCGACGTGATACTACAACGTCACGCTCGTCGGCTACTTTCGGCAAAGAGACTTGCCGATTTAGGCAGATTTGCTGCTCGATTAGATTTTCATTTAGTTACATGGTTCGGAAGAGAACGCGACAGAGCAGCGAAAATAGACGATTATATCGCAGCATTGAAAGCAGTGCACGAAGATTTTGCATTTGCTTACCCCGTGTTATCACTTCCAACTTTACAAAAGTATCGGAGATCTAGCCTCACCTCTCTACGTTCTATAAAATCAATTAGTTTAGAAACCCCGGAGGATGAACCAGTGCAATCCAATTTTGCCGTTGATTTACCTGATAGCGGTTATACTAGTTTACCAAGTGGAAGACCACCTTACACTACATTAGTTTCTCCTGTTGCGAGTTTAGAAACACAGTTCCCTGCTGTTGAAACCAAATTAACGACAAATATGTTACATGGTACTTATATCTCCTTACTATACACAAGGAATATAATGAGTGATTATATTAATTGAAATTGTATAAATATATTGTTATTGTATTTTCAGATGCTAATAGTATTCTTAGTGATAGCAGTACTATTTGGAGAGATGATACTGAATCCATTGTTGGAACTGGAGTCGGAACAGTGTGTTGGGTTTCACCAGAGCCGGTGGAACAAACAGAGGTCCATAATGCTTCGCCCTGTGCACCGATAAGTCGTGCAGAAGTACAACTTAGATATCTTTTACAATTATTTTTGGAGGGTGGTTGCTTAGGGTGGGCTGCGGTACTGGCAACAGTTCTATGCGATGCACCTGCTATGGCTAGAACTATTCGAGCTGCACATGCTCCCATGCAGACTTTTGATTCTGTAATTAATTTAAGAGATGGTCTCCTTACGTTAACCAGATGGTCGCATTCTGAATGGTACGTATTAAACAGAAAGTAAAATATAAATTGTGTAAAAGTAATTTATTTGTATTTCAGTTTGGGATATAGACCATTTATGTCAGGAATCCAGGGTCAAATTTCTTTGTTGAATAGGCTAATTGTAACTAAGCAACAACAAGAACAAGAGCAGATACCGGAGAGTCCTTCTCCCAGTCCAGCTCCATCAGCTAATAGTAATCAACGGGGAAATTTATCTAGATCTCGACATTCGTCCATTAGTCATACTTCAACAACTACACCATTAGAGGAAGAACGATCCCATGAACTATCTTTAAATGTTGAACAGACTTTCCGAGGTAACTATAGCAATCTCAATACTGTGGAGAATACTAATTCACAGTCTACGTGTATAATCTCCTAAAACAATACTGTCTTCATGAAATTCGAATACGTCGTATTATTCTGCTGTTGAGTAGGTACAAAGATTTTTCTAGAATTTTTCAGCTTTTTATGGAACATGTTTAAGTACTGTTGGCTGAAAACGAAACTCGTCAAATTACTATTTGATATTAAGTATCTCTTAAAGTAACGTGAGATAGATGTGATTAGCATCAAACCCCACTGTTAAAGAGATAAGTGACAATGAAAGCTAATAATTTTCATATTTTCAATCGTGATATCGAATATATTCGTTGATCGTTGTACCATAATTATGTATACAGTAATATCTTTGAAAATTTTAATATATAAGAAACAAATGTTACAAAATTAATATTTCTCATTTTTTAAGCATTTCTACGCCTGTAAATATGTTATTCAAATCGTAGAAAGAGTATTGTTGAAATATTTTTAGAGTCATTCTAATAACAAGCAAGCAATTCTGTACAAGAAACAATATAGTTTAATGATACTGCAATACGTGACTGATATCAATTCTTCCTGTACTCATAGACAATATATATTAAATAATGAATATTGACATATATGCAATTGATGTTAGTAGATTCCGAACTTAATTGTGAAGAAAATTAAAAATAAATGTACTCTGATATTTTATGTATTACGGTATCATATTGACTGAATTGTGATTATTAAAAAAAAAAAAAAAAAAATTGCACTAACTGTCATCTATTTCAATATAAATCATACATTTCAGAAGAGTTATACAAAATTAATGTTCGTAAAATATTGTGTTTGAATTGTAGTGAGCTAAACAAAATGACCGTCCTGTAATCCAAATTTCTTTAACATAGACAAAGAACTGAATTTTATATAATCAAATTAAAAGAATAACTATGTAAATTTGATGTAACTCTACCTAACTTTATAATCGATATTATTATAGATACCGATTTTCTATTAAAAGAACTGGTGTGTCAAATAATATATATATACGAAGATGGATAATGTTTAACGAATTGTAATTTATATAATATACATTTTTTATTGAACGAATTAATAATTAATACTTCGATTCAACGATAATTGTAAATAATGCAAAACGGTTTAGTGGTGATCTGTATCGGTTAAGAATTAATCACTCTTACAGAAGACACTAATACTCATGTAAATTGGACAAGGAAAGTAGTGGATTTATATTACAAGCAATTAAGAAAAATAATTTAATTATTTCATTTACAAATTCAAGTTTTTATTGAAATAATTTTTAATAATAAAACGATATTATATCTTTTAATTGTATAAGTTTTACTAAAGAATAGAAATAGACCAATATACCGATGTATACAATATTTTATTCATAAAAACATGGAATTAATATTTATTTTGTTTTCTTATAGGCAGTAACATAATTTTTCAATTATAATTATGTTTATTAAGTCTTTAATTTCAGTTGATAAATACACAGGATGTCCCATATAACTGAATCAAGCTTAAACCGGGTAGTAGATAGATCAAAATTTCATTAAACAAAATTAAATAGCATGGAATCGAGCATCTCGTTATTTCCTACAAAAAAGTATTAAGGTACTTGGATTGAAAATTAATTAGTTCAAAAGATATCTGAGGGAGAAATAGGGAGATCCTATTTGGGTCTCTCCCAAAGATTGAAACATCTCCACTTCCGGTTTTGCCGCATGCCATTTAATTTTTCCTAATATTTTGTTCAATATCTTACCTTGCTACAAGTTATAGCATGGTCCAGTTGCATGAGATACCCGTACTGTAAACATATTAATACTGCGTATTATAATTTTGCAATACAAATACTGAAAAATAATTTTACTCGTTACAAACAGCCAAAAAACAATAATCAAAATTATTTGTAAGTCTTCATGTAAAATTAATGTAAACCTCCTATTGGGAAATGATTAATTGATAAAAGATAATTTATATCTAAGTAAAAATAATTAGATTGATTGTTTCACAGTTTTTATAACTGAAAAATATACTTCGTTTACTCGATGTGCAACACAATAGTATGATTTTCTTTAATCTAGTTGCTGATTAACCACGAGACTTAGTTTTACTACCATATTAAGTAATCTATGAAAAAACTGTGAAACAGTAATAACAAACGGTTTATATACATACATACACACGTACATACTGTAACATAGATATTCAGAAATATATATTTTCCCATAAGTTACGTGATTTTCTAAAATTTATAAACGTGGCACAGCGTTATTTCTAAACAACATATAAAAAATATCAAGGGTTCTTCTAAGCATAAGAGTTCAGATACTACATTCTTATATTTATTTATACTAATTTAAAAGCATGTATAATTTCATATATAATTCGGTAAGCATGTATAAATTCAGATTCAATATACTTCAATAATGTAAACGCTGACTTCATACTGATTCTTTTATAAATTGACTGTCTTAGGTTTACTCTTATTTTTTTTTTTAACACTAAGTATATTTCTTTTTAAATATAAAAAAAGTTTAAGTTTTATCAAAACGATATGGCAACAATTTTATTTTGATGCTGAACATGTATAAAAAATTAAATTAAGTTCTCTTAAGTGTATTTAAAAAGAAGTTATACAAATTCAAAGGATCCACATAGTAGAATTTGATGTTACAAAACAAAAATGTGTACCCAATATCTAAACGTATTTTTTCAATATAAAATTGGTTCTGCATCCATAGATAATAATTTACTAATTTAAATAAAGTTAAAATTTGAGCACAGTGTGCTTTTTCGTCATTATGTAAAACACGTCATTGTGAACACGCGACTTCGAGTTTCTAACATTCACTGAACGGAAGACGTTCGTTTGTAATAACTAAGCTTCTTAACGGAAGCTTCAAAATGCAGGCACCGTTAGGAACAAAATAAAAAAGAAAGCAAGAGTATAATAGTAATGGAACTTTCATAAACTATCAATATCGTTCAACATCGTTACTGTTGGTTTGAGGTAACGTAAGTTGGATTGTACGCTGCCTGTTTTTCGTACACAACTTCCGCATATGGTGGTGGTTGCGACATTCCTGAAAAAGATAGTAATATTAATTTTAACAATATATTGACTAAAATTTATAGGTACATATGTAACAAAAAAAGTGGGTAGATCTACTCAAGTTGGCTTGAATGCGTTAACTAGAAAGGAACTTAAGTTGCAAGAGAAAATATTAATTTTTTAATGTAAAATATTGGAATAACACGTTGAACGCCAGAGGGGTGACCAATTCTGCAAATTACACACGTCTGAATAATTAAAAGAAAACAATAGAAAAATATTATGCTACAAATAATGTTGAAATTTGAAAATTAACTATTTTTATTCTTAGAGCTTCAATACGTCCCACAAAAAATGTCCATTCTCACAGTGGCGTTCAACGTGTTAATATTGAACTATAATATTTGTAATAATCACCTGCTGAACTTGTAGCATTCATAGCAGTTACATGAGGTTGAGTCGATTGTGGGACATTCGCGGGTGATTGAATTACATGTACGACAGTAGGTACCTGTACTTCTGGAACAAATGTACCCACAAAAAATGCTTAACTCTTGAGAGACAATAAATTAACATTTCAAGGAGTTCAATCAAGGAAATAATATTTATGCACTTATGATTAACATCAATATAGTATTTCCTGGGAAAGTGTTATAAGTTCAAGACTGGACGGTGATCTTGCAAAAGAGAAAGATATTACTTGACTCGATCTTGTTCATTTTTAAATGCGTCAGGAAAAGGGGTAAGATGAACTACGAAACGTTTCTTCCTGCGGCCCTGGAAGAAGTTTCAGATTTCAGTTCTTATCTCTTCTAAACTATTGTTACGTCGATCGGATTGTATGTATTTTGGTTTCTGAAAGATTTTGCGACTTCGCTACATCCCCTACTTCCTTCGACATCTCTCTTCCGGTTTCTTTATCACGCTGTTCGCGCCTACGCGTTGGAAACCGCACTCTCGTTTACCACCTCCACACATGCACCTTTTTTGGAACACTCTACATATCACTTGTAAAATTGCTAATTATAATTACTTACTAGTAACTAAACGGTTAAAAAATGAAAGAAGAAAATTAGAATCGTGTTAATGTTGTATTAAAAATATAAACTTACTGTCTTAATAATGAAACTAAAATATAAAATTCAATTGTCTTTGATGTGATAGTGGAAGGAAAGTGTTTGTTCACACTGATAGATCACAAAAATATTTATTATATAACGTTACAATGGGAAGCGCTTATCTATATGTCATATTGTGCACCTTAAGTTTATATTATTACATAAATTTGTCAGTAGCTGAATCGGCGATGTAAAATAGATCACAAATATAATTAACAAAATACTTTCTGTGCGTTATGTTAATATAAAAATATAAGTTAGCTGCCTTGTTTTATTTGCACTGACAAAATAGACTCTATGAATTCGCAGGTATAAAATTTCAATATGATATATAACAAGTAACCATCATACGTTGTTTCTACACATTCCAGCATGTGTGTAAATCTTGGAATTTTTAATCGAACGCAAAATATATTAAGTATTTTTTTTCCGAATCGCTTTAACTTAACGATATATATTTCTTATTACAATATAAATAAAATAAAAAAAATAAAGCGCTAATGGAATGTTAATGATCCTTTGCTTAATTGAGAACTTTATTTTGCAACTAAATTCTAATTATTTTTGCAAAGGATTAAATGCAAGCACGCGAGAGCTATAGAAATATTGTTTCTTTTTATAATACAAAAAACTGACATTTTAGTAAACAACCTATTATTACTACTGATCTATCGATCGTATTATACTTTTAAATAACAAAATGCCGAAGCTTTCATATGATTCTCAATTCGTTGCTTTTAGAAAAATTGAACACTAGTTCATTATTGAACTGCTGATATAGCTTACGCGTTTGTATATATTAAAAATGTTTTTAGTGTTGTTTAGTAGTATATAACACTGAAAGCAGTAATGTATGATGCAAAAATATTATATAGAATATATAGAAGAATATGTATGAAGTAATATATAAAAAGCAAAGTAAGAATTAATAATTTAAAAAATACTTATTCCCTGACACACATAAGTTTCATTTCATGTGTAATACAATGTCAGGAAGTAAGAAGATGTGATGAAATGGATTCAGGCCATGGCTGGTCCTATAAAAAATTACACCTAATTAAGTCCTGCAAACTTACGTATTTGCATAAGCTTCCACTCTAATAATGAATAGGGATGTAATCAACCCACTGGTAAATTTTCAAAATTTTTAATCAGGTAATTGAATTTTTAATACTATCAATTTCCTCCGTAGAAATTCAGATAATTTGAACGGAAACGATAAAGTATGCGTGACGTGAACTGTATCTGCAGCAAAATGCAGACACAATTCATTCTTTCATAAAGCGGTAGCGGTATTTGATCAGCTTTGTCATTGCCAAACGATTAATTACAGTTGTCTCCAAGAATTATGACTCATTCACAGATAAGCGTACTAAACTTGCAACAGTTAAATGCATAATCAATCTTTTGGCAATCTAACAAAATTTCTAATAAAATGTATATTTTTCGTTCCAAAGTACTTCCACTCGTGATAGAAGGTACAATGAAACTTACATTACGAGTACTCTTTTGATAATTGTATCATGTAAATCATTATCAAATTCTTCGTTGCATGATAAATTATTAGATGGTCGATGAAAAAAAATTAAGTAAACTTAAATTCATGATATCTATGAAAATGTTCTGACATTGTTAAACGAAGGGGTTATAGAAAAATATTCTTACTTCCATAAACTGTTCCTCGATGACGTCTGCGATACCATGGACAGCAACTACAGCATAAACATGATATGCAACACACTATCAATGAAACTCCAATCACTGCCGCCGCAATCACTGTGAGAAGAAGCCTGTAATAGTATGACACACATTTTAAATTAATCACTGCTTCCTGTCTCCAAAATTCACTGTAAAATTAAGATACGTAACAGGATCGTTCTTTTATTTTTCTTCAAATTTTCATCTAGATTCAACATTCATAAATGTGCTGTTTAATATTTGTTCTATAATAGTTATATGATATGAAAGTACAAAGTTATAACTTAAGTGAAGTATCGATAATATAATCTATCAGTAGAATCAGGTAGCGTTGTCTGAGCTCATTATCTGCGTTGTCTGAGCTGTTATACTCATATTACACTAATACCTAATGCTATTTTAAATGCTATTTAATTTTATATTAAATAAATTTCAATTATCGAACCAAGGGGTACCACGAATATCCGCGGTGAAATTATTATAAATAAATATTGTAATGTACTACCATGTTGTTTTCGCCATGAATTCCGCCGCGTCGCAACAATACATTCGGTTATTCTCAATATCCACGCAGCAATAGGATTTGTCTGAGGAGTCCAATATTCCTGGACAAGAATCTAGTATTTCCGACAGAACATTTTTGTGTCCGTACGAGCATTGCATTCCTAAAAACATAATGAACATCAATCTTATTAACAGAAATGTACAGCGCAAGAGGCCCCTGTGGCTCGGGGGGTTTAGAATACGGCCACGGTATCCCCTGCCTGTCGTAAGAGGCGACTAAAAGGGGTCACACAAACACATACATATACACGTGCACGCACACACACGCGCGCACACACACACACACACCGATTAAGATAAGCGGACACTAAAAGTATGGATTGAGTATAGGATTTAAAAGTATGGACAAGTATACAGAAGTAAAAGTATCGAGAGGAAAAGAGGGAGAAATTTAAACAATGCGCGGGGTTTAGGGTTGGCGGTGCTGCCAGCCCATCCTCGATGCGCGTGGACGATAGCGTTCATTGGGCAATATGGAGACAGATAAGTCCCCAAAAGCGCCGGCCCTTAGGGGCGAAATTAATGAGTGAGTGAGTACAGCGCAAGATAGTACAGGCATCGTCCGAACGTTTACACGACAGGGGTTAAATAATGAAACAAAACGTATCCGAATAAAATGACCTTGAAATTCAAAAAAAGAACAGTCTCCGAAGAGTTGATCTTCACCGTGATATTTGTATCCTTGAATCAGATATTGACACGGACCGTTGGGAGGATGTAAATCACCAGTGAATGGTCCACGACGAGACGTTTTATAAAATGTTGTCAAGGTTTGCAGACCCACCGGTGGGTCAAGGCGAACCGTGAATATGCGTGAACTCGATGAAGGTGTTTTGTTAAAGGTGACGTTGGTTTCTATTTTTTCGAATGGATAGAGGTGTCCAGGTATAGAGCGGACCATTTAATATGTTTTTTTTTTTTTAAATTAAACGAGATAAGGAGGCAAACTATTTGGTACGTAATGTAAGAAGAGTCAAAGGTGCGGTTTTAAATAAAACTCAACCCGGATAATCTCAAACGTATATTTGAGTAGTGATCGACTAATAGGGCAGCCCAAACAGGACTTTCCTGGCTCGGAAAAGTCCTCTTGTTCCGAAGAACCCAAAATCCTTCCGTGCCACTTGGGGCTCCGTCCTGTAAAATCGGCCAACATCGGCCGTGCAATTAGGCGTTGGGTCGTTTAGCCTTCGGTCGCCGTCACCGGATTTCCTAACAGTACTGAAAAATTTGGGGATTTTCCGTGGTCGTTAAGTTCCCTGGGTGCAAAGTTCAACGCAGGTGTCGATCTAAAGTCCCTTTCAATTTCGGCAGGAGTAAAATCCTGAGTCTATGAGGATCGATGCGCGTAGGAGAAACCGATGTTTATACGGGACTTCTAGGCTACCGGCGAAACAGGCCGAGTTGCTATTGTGCTCGAGTAAGTAATAATTCTTTTAGGATAAACACCTCGGATCATTGTCGAACGCCGGCAGGTATGTCGAAGCGCGAACGTACACACATTCATTCTTCAGCCTTCCTGGAATCAGCACGCGATCGAAAAGCCGAATAAACAGCATTTATTTTCATACAAAGTAAATATAACTGCCCAGTTTTAAGTTGGAATAAGGAAAAATTCCAATTGCATCAAACTTGAATCAACTCGAATTACGTCTTTAAGACTTAAGGCTTAAACGATTACTTTCTGGTCTTTATATGGTGATGGATTTAAATATAATTTCTAGATAATATTGTTAAAAAATTTCTTTGCATCGACTACGCCAGTTCGTGCTTAATTGTATAGACATAACAGTGGTTCTAGATAATCAGTTTCCGCTTCTAGATTTGAACGACGTTGAACTTACAACGTCGCCATTGTCAGATAAATCAAACGGAAGTTTCATCTTACATTGTAGATAAAACAAATTTGAATGAGGAAACTGTTAGCTAGCTACTTCGTAGAAGTGAACGAAATCTTGTGTATGCAGAAATACGTTTTGATAATGAAGTTTTTGTATATTTTAATTAATTCCATTGAAGCATTGTTACTTATATATTGAAAAGTAACCACCAGTTATTTACAATATTACTTTGTAAATTTGTATTTTTATCCCTTTACAATCAGTGAATCTACGTGTGATTTCGACTTAAACGTGTATCGGCATAAATGATAAATTCAGATATGCGTTCGGCGAAAACAGTCATCGTTAAGCTAACTCTGTCGAAAGAGGCAGCAATTATAAAGTCTGCAATAGATATATGTATGTAAAATAATATTCAGATTAATTTTTGATTTATTATAAAATCAAATCAACAATTAATAAAAAATAAGTTTTTATTGATGAACCTTTTTTTTGTATTAATAAAATTCATTTCATATTTATATAATTCACTTGATGCAATAGAAATTTAACGATTATCTATTAGCTTAAAAAAATAATTCCAAGTATCGATGACACTTGGTGTTTATGATCTCTATGAAAGGTAAGCACGAGGGAGTTAAGTAAACATAATCTAAACTTGTTTATACACACAGTAAATGTGTGAAAATCGGCGACTTATATGACGTAACGAACCAATGAACGATTAAAAACAACCGGAAATTATTGTAAATTATCTGCATTTATCAGCTATTGTTCGCAAATATGATGCAAAGGCAGAACTTAGTCCTTATTTAGATGAATATAATAGCAATATATTAATTAGAGTTAAATAGAAATTATTTTATTGCCCATAATTACTTATTTCATTTGGGAAATCAATCTATGTAGCAAATCATGATTATTATTATAATAAAATACGAGATTTATTGAGTAACGATTAGATACTTACCGTAGGATAACCCCATGTTCAGGCACAGAAGTGCGAGCAAGGTGGTAGCACGCAACATTTTAAAAGATTTCAAAGTATCAAAGTAAAATTCTCAAAAATATTAAGTATTAAAGTATTAAACACAGCTTCTAACACTTAATAAATATGAATATAATTAATACACAAATTCAATGTTCAAACACGTCGAACAGAGCCTGAAAGCTGCAGGTTGAAGACTGAAATATTGTCAAGTATTAGTATGACTCAAAAGATGTCATCCACATCGTTTACGTTAGTCGATCAGTAACGAAAAAAGCCGAAGATTTGGCGGTTAATTTAATTCAACCGTTATTTTAGTAACTTGCATTAGTATTCGAAAGTTGTACTTGTACTTTGTGGTTATTCATTTGATTTGTGTATAATTCAGGTATAGTAAAGAACAACTGTTAGTTTATTCTCAACAAGGTTAAACATTTTACTATTTATTTAATACAATATTAAAAGCCATAAAAAAATAAACAAATATTTGTATTGCTTGTAAGTTGTACATTATCAGCTATATTTCTAAAACAAATTAAAAAACATTGTGGTTCATTAGTATTTAGTATGATACTCTAAAATATTCCTATAACAGTTAGTTTAAACAGCTACCATAACCTATTAAGTTCATAAACTTAGTATTGTAGACAACCTTTTTTATTCATGCAGATCATGTATAGATCTTGAAGCAATGTTAATTATTAGTATATCAATATAAGCACTAATAAATTGCAGAATACTAATAAAAAAATTATTTTAAAGAACATCTAAAATTCAAGATTAGTTACCATTTAGGATTATGATATATTCTCATTGATTGCATCTCCAACAATGTGACCCATTTCTTTATCATATTGTAAAACAAAACTGTGGTGATAACCACGTTTGCATAGGATCGCATCGACAGAAGGATGCGTAAATTTCAAATGATTGAAATATTTAACTGGAGCCCAGCCATCACAATTACCATAATAGAACCATAATTTATCACCATACTTGGAAATTATATCATCGTCTCGATCTTTCACAACTTCCATTTCTTCTTCTGCCATTTTAATTACTTTTTTCAAACTATGAGGGTTTAACAATTGAAGTGTTGCTTTATTATACTTTCCGGGAATGCTGTATGCCATCACACTAATTATAAAAAGTTGTAAAAACTGTGGGAGGCAGAACAAAATCCAACAAAGGAAAATTAATAAACTTTGAATTTTTGTAATCTGAAAGAAGAGAACATTGATATAATTGACATCTTATGGTACTATATATGGTTCAATGTTAATAGAACTTACAAATTTAGTAAAGAATTGTCCATTTCGACTTTTGGCCATGTGTTCTATAGCTGGAAACAATAGATAACATTTAGCTACTTTTTTAGCAATGAGATCATCTTTTAACATATTCAAAATCATCCAACAGCCTATTGAATGACCAACAAGATGCAATCTTGCGTCTTCTGGTACATACTTTCTAATAAATTCTTTCTGTAATGAAATTATAGCAAATAATAGGGTCTTGTTTCTTGAAAGAAGACTAACATTTAATAAGTATAAGCAACCTTATGCTGTAACTGTGCCATTAAACTATAATGTTCATTCCAGGTTGAATCATTTGGCATTGTAACACTTAAGTTGCTTGGTGGTTGTACATGTCCTGCGTGTCCAATTACCCAAACTGGCACTTCAGTTGGAAGTCTTAACTTTAAAGTTCTTGCAAATCCTTCATAAAATTCTGGAATGCCAGGATTCCCTGGAATAACAACTACCACATCTTTTTTTCCATTTTCTGCAACACCTTCTTCTACCCAACGACCTTCTGCAATAACTTGGGTAGGCACACTACTCCACCTTAGCATGGCACGCTGCATATTGTATTTTACTGTAATCAATTTGAACAACATATTGGAATTACAATCACAATTATAGACCAGAACTAATGATATGGATTCCTAACCATTAAATACGGTTAAAATATTGTAAAGTACTATAAATTTTAATATAAAATTTCTTATTGCTACTTTTTAATATTACAAATTTATCATTTAAATATATCACATATATGATAAATGTTTAATAATTTTATGAATAATAATTATTTCAACAGCGTACGAACCTGCTTGAAGTACGAATTACAATTGCTGCTTTAATTAAGAAAAATGAATGAATTAATGCTATTAATTAAGTAATAAATCTAATAAATATAGAGAAACATTTACTATATTACTGTTGCATCCAATGCTGCTTTGAACGTGTATTACATTCAAAGTACTTTAACGGTAATGCATTTCATATGACAGATAAACTTTATGACACTTACATATATATAGACTTTATTATAAACATAAGAAGTTTTATATTATCAACATAGATAATATAATCATAATACAATATAGATTATATTTTGAATGATTTTGTAAAAATTTGAAATTGTGGAACTACCATTATGGCAGACCTTACCGACACGTGCCGAAATAGCTCAGCTGGGAGAGCGTTAGACTGAAGATCTAAAGGTCCCTGGTTCGATCCCGGGTTTCGGCAGGATTTTAATTTTTATTTTTATTAGCATATGTATTAAATACGGTCCATACTTAATTTTGTTCTATAAATCATTTAAAGCAATATTTATTATAGTATCTCTAATAAGCAAGCAATTACTACATCTAAAATTTGGCACGATTCATTAAAATATTAATCATATACATGTATTTTATGATTTATATTCTGTGCCTTTTAATAACAAACATGTTTACTTTATATCAATAGGAAAAATGAATTATACCAATTTTTCATATAATAATTGACCGTAATTCTAAGTCGAGTCAATAATTATATTGTATTGAAAGAAAAAAGTTTAATGACATTTCAGTTATTAATAAAGTAAATTAACGTTTACAAATTTAACAATAATATATACAAATGTTTTGCAAGTCTTTATCTTTTCAACAAATATGCAAGTATATGCAAATACAACAATTTAAATCTTAAGAATCGCATAAAACATTATTGAGTGTTTCAATAGATAACCACCACGGAGTTTTGAAGTTTATACTTAAAGAATTAATTCATTTTTCCTCAAATTGAGGAATTCCACAAAGAGTTTGAAATCCCTTTTCATCGCTTATTTGTATTATTTTCAATTTGCGCTTAATCACAATTGATTGACTATTTCTTTTATGACGCAGTCAGCGTAAAGTATCATCAAGTAGGGACCGGAATTGGACGCTTAAACGCAGTAACAACCATTATTTTGCTATAAAAATTCGTTTTAAATTTTGATAGGCGGCCGAAGTTGGTGGGCCGCCATTTTGGTAGCTCCTCTGGCACAATATTTCCCACGGTACAGGCAAGTGATCGAGAGAAAGAGAGAGGCGTTGAGTTGTACCACTGATTCTGGCTCATGGAAAGATGGCGGAAGGTAATTTGGATACGCGTCATATTGCCTCTTGTTTAGGGCGCATGCGCAAACCAAGTGTGTGTGGCTGCGATGGTGTCGGTAGGCGGAGCCATATCCAGAAGCAGCTTGTACCGGGTGGTACCGCATCACTGTCAGCAAAAACCACATAAAACGGTACCACTCGCTCCTTTGCTATACCAGGCGGCAAGAGGAGGTTTGAGTGGTTCGTGGGGCAGGGCGGAAGTTCAAGGTAGTCACCGAGCCACAAGGGAAACGCCATATTGACGATGACGCGTACGCATCGTCAGGTATGATCAAATGACTGTTTTTCCGTATCTTTTCGAATTCGATCGCTGCAGAAACATTTTTGTTTTATTCGATCACTGTTTATTACGCTCTTGCAGTGTGAGCAATTCCCCCTTTTTTATAGAAATGATCAGTATTCATGACTATACGACTGATCCTCGTGCGATAACGATACGGTAGGGTACTCGATAATTTTGGGCATTTGAGGCTTTGAGAGCGGGCACTTCCAAGAAACAGGACATCGTTGAGTATCAATGGCTGTGTGCATTCTTCACAGTCCATTTTTTTAGGTAGGACAGCTATTAATCTATTGGCTATTTGTTTGTTTCAGATGACAGCTATATATTCATTGACTGTCTGGGCGAGGGAGTCGACTGCACGAGCGTATATGAGTGATGCGTGTGACCAAAAGGCGTTTTTAACAGGTAATTAACGAGTACCTACCGTAGTATTCACGCATTGAAGTATATTTTGAAAATCCGTCTTCCGAAGTTTAAGTGGAAGACAATTAATGCTCCATCTTTATAAGCACATTATTACATTTTCACTATCATAACACCACTGTTAGCAATTAGAATATCATATCCAATCTTCAGTTCATGGCTCCCTATATAGGGTTTTACTAACGGTCCAGTTTGGTCCCAAACTGATTGCCAAGTCACCAAGTTATTAGCGCAATAATGGTGTCTACAGTAATGACTAGCATAATAGTGGGACTTTTCTGGAATGATAATTTTGGTCCAGTTGTGGCCATGGGCCATGAATACTCAATCTATCCTTCCAATACTGAACCATTACTGGCTTAATTATTACGCCAATATTAAGCCAATAATGGCGTTTTACGATGTCGGGCTTCGCCGAATTATTCTTTTAGCCATGTTCACATTTTTATCATACTATTACGATTCGGAAAAGGAAATAAATACACAAGTATTTAATCATGTTTTTACAATTGTAATGTTACAAATATGGACATGAATACATATAAAGGCTTCTCGTTCAAGTCTATATTTTTTGCCGTTGTTTCCGATCGTCTTCTCTATCAACACCTTGGGACATCCAATCTTAATTGATTTATTACATAACACTGATATTGTGAGTACATAATATTGCTGATGGCGCGCACTTATATGCTAAGTATAGGTCAGTATAGAGGTTAGGTTGACATTCATACAGGGTTACCTTCACTTTTAGAGCCGACATATGCAATTGGTAATGTACCACTTGAAATTATCTAATGAAATTTTTTTCTAATCAAACATCTCCTGTAGATACCTTACCATCTTTGAGGTATCTATAACAGGCCATTTGAATATCTCGGCAGTTATTAATGATAGAAAAGAATTGCATTAGGGCATAGGTGGACATTGTAGGGAACATAGGAAGGTACTGTGCGTTTCTGACAAAGTGCGTGTGGCCATTCCAAGGTAAGGGGGGAAATTTTATCGCTCCGCCCGGATCGATCGATTTCCAGTAGATGTGCGTTGGTTTATTAGTAAATGCGATCATTTCGACAAATGACAAAATAGCGTGAATCATGTTGCTGCAGTTGTATTAGAGAAAGGTGGGTTCTACAGTAAGCAATACAGCCAATAGAACCCGCAATTCTTTTGCGCGACTTTGTCAGCGGTGCACAGTATGTGGGACATCCTGTATACGAGCTGTGTTCGCTTGGACATTTGAAAAGGGATAAAGCATTCGCTCCATAAATCCCCGCTTTCGAGGCTTCAAAGGTGTGCCGTTCTAAGAAACGGGGAGTTATCGAGCGTTAGTGGCATGCGTGCTTTTTTCATAGTCTTCACGTGACATAGCTGTATATTCATTAGGTGTTGAGTACTTCGCCCGGAAAATAAAATAACACTTATGCGATTGTAAAAATTTTCAACATTTTTTATTTACTGTAAGTTTTATATTACATTTGCAAGCAGTAGATAACTAAAAAAGTTAAGTTCTTCCTCGATGTAAGTCCTCAAATATGTTTATCACAAAGGTTTCATTCACTCCATCAATCAAACGTTATCTAGATGTTGAGATATCACACGTTGCATGCAAAAAGTTAAATAAAGATTGTCTGATAACAAATTTATATTAATAGCAAATCTGTAAACATCAACAAAATTTATTGATGATGTTTATTCCTAATAAAATATTAACGCTTGAGAAGATAAACCGAAAATATCTTTTCTTGTATATTTATCATTAGTTTATGTAACGTGTTGGATATCTAATTGAGCGATAAAGCAGTGGTTTCAATTTCCCGCGCGAATGGCGATATAAAGATCGATTGATCGATACGATATAACTAACCTCATTTCTTCTCGAGTATTTTCATACTCTTATGGTGTCACAAATAATAAGACGTATATCGTATATAATTTATCAAAAAGTGTCTTTATTACAAAATTACAAAATTTATAACCAGTATTTGACAAAACAAACAAATATAATAACGTCGTAGAGAGTTAAACGTCAAAATCACGAGTACCTACCTGATACTTACCGTCAAACTGTTAAATTTAATCCCTCTCTTCCCCGCAAAGTACGTTACACTTTGAGAAAACGCGGGAAAAGATTCAAGTTTCACGATAGGTTCCGTGGGAGTAACGACGGTAGGTGTTATTCACGGGGTAGGATGTGTTCGTGGGCGTGGCTTCCGCGAGATTCTCAACCCCGGTTGGGCGTTTCCTCGGTTAACCGGTAATGCCGGTAGTGGGGGTGACTTCATCGAACCCCGTCAGCCGCAGTCACAATTCAACCGTTCGATGGTGAGCATGCTATAATGTGACGCGTTACGGGTGGATCTCTTTTTACCGGAAGTAAAGATTATTCACTCGTCTATTGAATCTCAACGTACACACAGTATTTCGAAACAAGTTGTTTCTTATTTGACTCGTATAAAAACATTGTTCAGTGATAACTTTACCCAGTGAGCGATTGATACGAATCGAAGACGCTCGGATACAAACTCCTGCTGAATACGAGTGGATTAAACGTTCGTAAAAGTGATCCAGTGTTTCCGTGTGAAAAGTAAATCGTTTTATTTATGTTCACAAAGTTCTCCGGTTATTCGATCGGTTACAAACGTTTCGTTTGTTGCATCGTACCTTTAAGCCGGCCGGCACCCGCATTAAAGGGAATATAGCGGAAGCGTTCAAGTCACGTACACCATTTTTGACTCTATCCCCGGCGTGATTTTCTTTTCATATTTAATTCCTCGATCGATTTTCTGAGTTAAATTGTCAAATACTGACTCGACGATCATTCTTGTTTCCGTGAAACTTCTAAAAACTCCATAACGTCGAGATGAACGCTTATTTGCTACGATACCGTCAGAAATACTCTGAAAAACTGTAGAAATTATTATCCACTGGATATTTCAAGATACTCGTTGAAAATGTAGCTTATTACGACCCGTACTTCGAGTACCTTCCTTCAGAAGAAGGCCGTTATGGTAAACGGAATTCATCGTCCATCGATTTCGTTCTGTACTCCGTTTCACTGAACGAGAATCGGTCGAAGCTCCGCTTTTCGCTTTAAAGAAAAGAACATTTTTTTCTTATTGTTTGGTTGTAACGGTTCAGTGCCCTCGGGAAGCCATGAGCGATATACCGCGTTTTGGAGTGAATATTATTCAACGTTTCGCGAACTCTGTTCAACAGTTTTAAAGTGATCTCTCTATTGTGTGTATTTCTCAGTGAAATTTAACGTTTCACGGTGGATAAGTGAAGAAACAAGTGGATTATTGTGGCATGGAGTAACTATCCGACGGCTAGTTGTCGTTTCTTCGCCCCCATCAAAGGATTATGATTCTGTGAACGGATATTTATCAGCCGCTTGGAGAATTTCCTCCAGGATGATCGAAACTTATCTTCACGTCGGATTCGCATAGTCGCCACAGTGGAGTTCTGCTTAATCGCAGGTAACTATTGTCATGCCTTAAGACCGCGTACATGCAAAACGGGTCCGTGAATCGAGCTTGTCCATTCGTGCTTACCTCGTTTTTCTGAACGCAAAAACATACATATTTACGTTTGCAATTCGTGGTGTCGAGAAGGTTCGGCATCGCAGAACGCGGTTCTACGCGTCTCGGGTAATTGGAATTATCGCAATTTTTCGAAAAGCATTCTTTCATATTCCTCGCATTCTTTTAATTATAATATTTCTTTGCTATTTACTAAAGCCTTATCGCACTTTCGCGCCTTCTCGTAATATATTACCATTCCGTAGAGTTTTAACTATTTTTAGTTCAATCACCTTATCAACGGATTATGCAACACGAAGTTGCCGTTTCTTTTTAAATCATCGACGGTTGAACTGTTTACAATTGAGATTGTTATTTCGCTTCCAACAATAGGCGTATATAACACTATCAGAATTGTTTGTGTACTGGACGTAATAAGCTATTTGTAACAAACAGTCAAACGGTATTCTTGATCGTCGACCCAACGCGGTTGCCTTCAGAAATTGTACAAAAGGCATTGTCTTAATTTGGAACAGTTACTTTTGCTATATTTTGTTACGGTATTCATCGCGGTAGCACTCCGATTAATTTAACTTAACATTGGTTAATTACGCATGTTTTTTTATGGAAGGTTATAAAATAAGAAGTCTTGATTATCAAACTATGTTTATGTATAAAAATATTTACTTCATACCTTATCAAGTGTATCGTTCGTCCGATACGTTTGTTTTGAGGTTAATAGTGGTTTTATCGTATCAGAATTTGAACGCCTTCGAAAAGCAGCAGAATCATTTGGTATGCGTGCCATGCGTTTTACCGATAAACAGAAGAGTGTCATACAACTTGATCGTACATTGTCACGTGTACCCCCGGACAAAAAAGACCGCACAATGTAGGGGTGATACAACAAAAGTACTTTTCCAATGAAAAAAAAATCAACTTATTCACCCTTTACACTTCAAATGACGATCTAACTGTTCCTGGAAGGGTTCTATTGTTTTATACTTTCACACAGTTGGTATTAATTATAGAATGCACAATGTTATATCACATATAGTAGTCTGTGGTAAATGTATTGCATAAATAGCATCAGAGGGATAGAAAAAACTAAAGCTTTGAGGAAAATTCTTTAATTTGAAAATTATTTTAAGTTTAAGACAGTTTTCATGTATATGTATGAGAATTAAAACAGTTTGTTAAGAATGGGCAGAATTGAAAATTCAAACAAATGATAATTACAATGAAAGAAGGATGAAACGCTCCACAAAATATTAACCCTTTGCATTCTTTACATTTCTTTGTATTCGCTCAACAAAAACTCTGCTGCGTTTCATTATTTTCCTGTTAGAAATAATATATGTTAAAGCATTCATGAGAAATAAACTATATTCGTTTTTGTTTACTACATATATATGCTTACTATGATAAGAAAATGTCAAGCTAACTTGACATAGAAGTTCAAAGGTTTAAATATTAATTTATGTTTATAAATGAGGAAAACTTTGATTTTTTCTTAGTAAAACTGAACTTTTATAAATGTGACAGAACATTTGTATTTTTAAAGTGTTTGATTTGATATTTAGAAACAGTTATATGCGATACATTATTCTTTTCTCTTGTACTTTTGTTTATTATTGATCAACATAGTAATAGACACACCCCATGCATTAATTGCATATATTATCACGATTTATTCAGAATTTTGTGATAATTCTGCCCATACTTATAAACAAACGATCTTTCTTGCTAATCTTCGTTAAGTACTCATCTGAAAACGTGTACATAACCTAACTTTAACTACCTTAGACACAGACCCCTTAAATATTATAGTCGAATCTTAATGATGAATTTTTAATCAGGCCCAAGTTGAAAGGCGCTTTTTTCTGTTTCTTTTCTTTTGCAATATTAATATTTATAACAAATTTATTGCGATAATCAATAGCCGATCTTATCTCATGGGGGGCTCCATGTGCAAAAAATGAAAGCGTTATTTCGATCTTCTAAATTATTTCTAATAAGATAGAAACTTGAATAGAATCGGTATGTGTAATTTTTGTGGAGCACAGTTGTTGTTTTCTGTAACGATAGAATTTCGTAACAGGCATAGAAATATAAAAGATTACACTCGATCGTATAGACGTAATATCTAACAAACACGTTTATTTTCTACCGTATCTCATGAAATCGCTCGTTTCTTATATACGAATAACGTTTCGTATATCGATCATGGATTTCTTTCACATTTTTCACCACATTTAGTGGATTCCCTGCGCTCTCCTGTTGTAACATTTCTGTCGGTATGATTTCATGATTGCTCGTATTACCGACAACGACAAATTTTTATCGAAAAACGGCGCTTTTTATTCGGATATTAAAATATGTCCTCCGTCGATAAGAACTACGTTAGCAGTTTAGTTTTTCCAACATCAAATTCCGGAAATTCGTTTTTGTTTTTATTTCACTCTTTTTTGCAAGCTGAGATTATTTAAAACGAAATGATCTATTCTGGGTAAAATATTTGTTTTGGTAAATTACGTAAGTTTCAATTAATTTCAAGAAAAAATCCAAAGACTTATGTTAAATTTTGAATTAAATAAAATGTGGTGGCGCCCTATTCGCATCGTACCCTATGTACAGTCAGTTTAATTTCCGGTCATAAAGCACAGAGTTGTATACTTTAAGCGTGGGATTAAGATTAAAATAACAGTATAAATGTATTCCGTACAACGGAATAAACGAAGTTCTCGTTTCGCAGAAGATAGAACCGCACACCTCGCAGGTCAGTTTTCACAAACTTTCTCTTACACGGTTTAGTCTCGGCTGACCCTTTTCCTAAATGCATTCTATTGCCCATCTTTTATGAGCACGTACAGAGGCAAACCATAGTTTCTACAAACTAGAATTAACGTACAGTTCGAACGTTCTGAACCAAGCAGTGCAAGCTTGAAATTACTGGTTCAGAATTATATCTTCAATTGTTAACAAATTTTTACAATCAATTAAATTTACTCAGGATTTTATATGCATCTTTATTTCGATTTGTTTTCACGTTGCAATTTTTATGAAAAAAAAAAAAAAAAAAAAAAAAAAAAATTAAAATTATTCACAAGCCATATACAATAATTATGCCACATGCTAGTAAGAAATAAATTTATGGAAATAAGTTATTTGGTTTTTCAACGATCGAGTACTTATCAGGTGTCCAAATAATGAAATTAAAAAAATTGATTAAAAGTTGAGTTGATCAGGGTAGTTACTGAGTAAATCAAATTTAACCTATACAAAACCGTGAAAATGCATAAAACATGTCGAAGTGAATAATAAACAATTCTCGCGTAGCAATTTAAAGCCTTTTCTCTGTTTTCTCTGATCTAATAAACAATACATAACAGAGAGTATTCGGTTCTTTTATTCGACGGGAACTGGCGTCGCTCGGAAGCAACGCGACGGTGCCAAACGTACGGTCGAAATATTTAGCGTTATGGGCAAACGAATCTCGTTTATACTATAGATTACGAATTCCGGTACTTATTCCAATCGATTTAGGCAGTTTTTCAAGCGTTAAACGATCGTTGCTTCCTAAAGTTATCGTTGAATAGACGACGTTTAAAGTTACCATCATTCAAACCGGAAACCATACGATCTATCCAAGTATACAAGTATAAAAAATACATATATTTTACAGTAACGTGGTAAAAATTGGGTAATATTTTCCGATCAATCCTGTTCTCCATGGAAGATCATCTTACTGATTAATCCGTTACTCGTTAACTTTAATCGCTTTCATTTTAGTGTCGCCCTAGTAGTTGTAGGTTAAGCAAGCGTTAAGTGATAATTTTGGGTGGAGGATCGGTAGGTTAATGTAACGCGGGGGAATATTTAACGAATTTTCGTTTGGTGCAGCTGGGAGTTGGAAGTGAGGTTAGGTTAGATGAAGCTAGGCGAGGCGTGGTAAGGTGAGGCGAGACGAAGCGAGCCAACATCGAACGTGTGTTCTAAAGGTTATAAAAACCGGTCCTTGGTTTTGCCAGACGAAACATCGTGGCGAGCAAAGGCGGGTAGAAGCGAGCAGAGGCAATGTTCCGGCTGCTTCGCCAAAGGAACGCTCGGAAATGACGAGGTTTAGCAAAGTCGCCTGCGAATCACACGTGTTTACCCATATTTACCATTTTCTCCGTGGGGACAGCTTCGATAGGGAGGTGCAAGATTTTTCCAAAGATTCTCCTTAAGTTCTTCCAAGACCAAAAGCAAGTGGTAGGCAATTCCTCCCCTTTACCCCCTTCCTTAACCAAGAGAAGCCCTCGTTGCACCGAGGTGTACAATCTACGGTAGAATATTAGCGATATCCATCGATAACCCATCACTGTTGTGTACCAAGGGGGTGGGGGAGCTGTAGTGACTTGGTACTTGGTACTAGAGGTGCGGTTGATATTTTATTGATACATAACGATAAATCGCTAATATAGTTAAGATATACTTAAGGCTAATGGAAATGGACCGAGGTAGAATGTAACACATAATTTTATCATTGAAATTTATTTTTATTCGAGCTTCAAGGAAGTATTCGTTCAAACGTGTACAACATCGAACTTCATATTTAAAAACTCGATAAGATAATAGCGGATTACATACATTTTCAAATAATTATATAAACACGCGTTAAAGCACGGTTAATTAAAAATTTAGAAGGCCACCGCAATCCGAACAAGGATTAATAATCCACGGTCGCTATATTTATAATTGAAAATCGCTAAATTAAATAATGATTGCGAAAGAGAGTTTAATAAACGCAAGATACACTATTATCAGTAGCATAAACCAGTATGTTCATCGTGATTCTGACAAAATAGTCGGGGTCAGAGTTGAGTTGGCTCCGCTGGAAGATTGTTAACCTTTCTGATACGGCGATGTAACGTTACGCGGAAATCACAGACATTTTTGTGTAATGAGTGGTTTCT